CTCTTGAGTTAGAATGAGGGCCGTTTCAGCAAGGGAAAACTCAACTTCTTCTCTCCTGGCTTTTTAGTGCTGTTGGGTGTGAACCCCTTCGAGAACTGCTGGCGTCAGGTCTTGCATTAATTGCCAACCGGACTGGACCGTACCGACGATACGGGCCGTAACTATGTATACATGAGTATACACGCCATCGCTGGGCTTACCTACCAGACTTATTTTATTTATTACTTACCTATTTATTATTACTCACATTAATGATATCCATTTTAATTACCTGGTGGGCTGATGGAGATGGAGACGGGAGGTCTAGATGGTGCATCTCCGGTGGGGGGCCACCAGGCCAGGCGGTGTGTCCGTAGTTCAATGCTGATAATAATCATAATTATTATTATCTGATGCTGGCTCCGTTAAGAAGAGGCAGAGAAGGGAGCTTGCCTCTTCTGATTCTTCACATTATTGTTCAATTGAGTTTGCTTCCTTTTCCTGCACATCCAGGGAAGCAGGAGGAGGAAGAAAAAAGGCGGACGGACATGGCAGAGAAGTAATTTATGGCGAAGAGGACTTCCCTGTCGACCAAGTTCGATAGTCAGGAAAAGATGAAAAAGATTAAGAGGTATATCCTCAGCTCGTGGCTTGCCTTTCCCCTTTCAGTCTCCATCATCGCCGGACTAGCAGGTGGGATAAACAGGGTAAACCGGGCGATTATAAGGTATGGTACAGATACCTAGATCAAAAATCATTTAGGCATCTTCCCTCCTCCATCTTTTTCCATTAATCACCTTCTCCGTACTCCGTATGAACCGCCTTTTCCCTTCCCTTCCTTTCCTCCTTTCTTTTTTTTTCCTTTTTCCTGCTTTGGCTTTTTTTCTTTTTCATCGTTAAAATCTCTTCAACTTGGCTTGTGGCGTGTGGCTACCCACCTTCAATAATATAATTTCAAGATGTGCATCCTCTTCGATCTTGTCTTCTTATATTATCATCATCATTTTTCTTTTCCTCCGCTCCTTCGCCTCTGATGTAAAGCATGTAAGTGGTGTGCTGGCCTGTTGGTACAAGGCTGAAGTGGCGAGCAGAGACTCAACCAAGTCGATCGATTTACCACCTCACATGGGGAGATTAGATGGCTTCGTCTTCTTTCCTGTTCCTGTTCCTGTTCCTGGGATACCTCTCCTGCGTCTGCATATGCATGTTGTGTTGCCTCCTCAAGAAGAGTCAGGCAGAGGGAATTAGTTAACACAGCAGTGTTAATAATATCCCATGAAACATTGTCCTTTTGCCTTCAACATAACCTTCGGGCCCTGCCAGCGATCTCTGGATAGCCGTTTCAGGCGATAAGACGACGGCCTTGGACAACAAAGGTGGTATCGAGTTTTAGCTCGTCCCGTAGGTCACCGACAGGACTCCGTACATATGTAGCAGTAGTAAGAGTATATAAGGTAGTAGGGTTATGGTTATGCACGCTCATGCTTCCCCTCGCATCCCATGCATAAAAGTGTTAGCCCATGTCCTGCGGCAAAGGGCGGCAGAGGATCGAGCACCGCTGGGCGAGCTAAACTCCCCTCCCTGGCTCCTCCCATCCCATCCCAGCCCAAGACTGGCGACCCTCTCGACCCGACCAAGAGCTGTCTAGCGCATCGAGCATCCCTGGGTCGACGTATGGACGAAATGCGCTCGCTTGGGTCTGGCCGCCCACACTAGACTTTAAGCGAGGTCCCTCCCCCCTCCCCTAAGTACTAAGGGACGCTTGCCTGTGCCTCTTCGCATCGCCCTGGGCTGCATCGCGTAGCTTAACAGCCTCCCCTTCGCTGCCCATCTCGACCTTCCATCTCGCCGTAGCCGTCCATCCTCTCGTCCTGTCCCATCGTAAATCTTCTCTTCTTCTCCTTCTTCTTCTATTTCTTCCTCTTCTTCCTCCTCTTCTTCCTCCGGCTTCCTCTTCGTCCTGCGTCTTAAGTAATATCAACTCCTCCGGCTTGTCCACCAGTCGATCTTCTTACCCAAGGCAGATTTTGCTTACCTAAGCTTGCCCCCTTTCCGCCGTCCCCACCTTCTTCTTTTTTCCCTCTGCGTCGTCCGTTTTGGGTAAAGTCCAGAACGGCCAAACGTCGACCTCGACTTTCGCCTGCAACGCCCGCAGCGACGACGAACCAACCACAACCACAACCACAACCACAACCACCACCACCACGACAACCAACCGCCGACAGCGACAGCAACAACGACAACAACGACGACAACGACGACGACGACGACGACGACGACGACGACGACGACAGTGACAGCGTCAACGAGTACAGCTGCCGACCTCCGACTCTTGCAACAGCCGCCGCCGCCGTCGACCTTCCACGGCTGCTTCTTCGCCGGACCGTTGGGCGCACGATCCGCTTGCTGGACGGGTAGGGGGACTTCCTGGACTCCGGACCCGGGCCTGAAACATCTCCGACGAACCACCCACACAGGCAGAGGGACAGCCAGAGTCCCTCAAGGCTGCCTTGGACCAGATTCCCCCCTTTCTCGCTGGCCCTTGCTGCGTCTCTCTCGGCCTCCCTCTCTCTCTGTCGCGGCAGCCTCGTTCGAAGGGGATATGGATTGAGGACGAGCCCGTCGAGCAACAATACAACAAATCTGACAGCAACTGACGGACTGGTCACACTCGGTACACACAGTGCCTTGGCCGCCTCGACGAATCATGCGCACTCCCTCCTACCACATACAACACCAACATTAGGCGCTCCCCCCTCCCCGTCTTTCCCAGATTCTCGACCAATTCTTCTTCTGGGCTTCTCGCTCTGTGGGCTCTTCGCTGTCTCTTGGTCTGCTTATTTGTCCGCTGTTCTCGCCGGGGACGACCGAGATCAAGAACGACGGCAGTCGACCGAATCCATTTTCTGAAAATTAAAAAAATTAATATATATATATATATATATTTTTAAAAAAAGCCATATGGCTTCTCGCGATGGCTACGCCGGCCAGGGCGCTTCTGGCACGGCGAATGATGATGGTCTGTACCGGAATTGCTATATTCTTCTTCCTCCAACCGTCTCTCTATACTGACTGCTATTTTTTTTCTTCCCACAGGCTACGTATCACCAACAGAGGCGCCTCCGGCTCTCTATGTAAGAGCTTTGTACAAGTACACCTCAGACGACCATACCAGCCTCAGCTTCGAGCAAGGCGACATTATCCAGGTACTGAACCAGCTCGAGACCGGCTGGTGGGACGGCGTGATTGGTGATGTCCGTGGCTGGTTCCCAAGCAACTATTGCGCCGTCGTTCCTGGACCTGAAGCTGTCAACGACCAAGCTGGTGATGCCAGTGCCGAATCCGGCGCTGACGATGAGTACGAAGACGACGTCGACGGCCTAGACACCACTCTGAGAGACGAGGACCTGCCCATAGAAAGCAATGGAGCAGACGGTGGTGAGGCCGAAGAAGCCGCCTTCTGGATTCCCCAGGCCACCGCAGACGGCCGTCTGTTCTACTACAACACCTTGACCGGCTACAGCACAATGGAGCTTCCCCTGGAAACGCCTACCTCCGTCAACGAGTCTGGCCCCCGGGATCGTACAAACGTCTACGTGCCCGAACACACCCGCCTGCCACCGGAGATGATGGCCCGTGGCATCGACCGCTACGAAGATGACTATGATGGCTCTGCCTCAGAGGCTGAAGGTGACTCTCTCTTAATGGCATCGCAGCGCCGACATTCGTTCATTTCTGATGGCGTCTCTCCTGCTACATCCTTAGGTTCCGTCAATCCTTCGCCCATCACAAAACACTATGACCTCAAATCAGCCTATCCTCCCCATTTCGTCTCAAATGGTGGAAACAGCGGCATGGACTCCATCCCCATCATGGGCACTCCAATGTCCTCCCACTCGACCACTACCGATCGATCTCTGCCCCTGGGAATCTCTACATCTATTCCTCGTTATTTCCTGGATGACTCTACGGCTCCACATCCTACATGGAATTCGCTCGTCAGCAACATGCGAGACGCAATTGATGCGTACCGACAGGCCATCATCGAAGGCCGGCGGTCAGAGTACGTCCGCAGGGCAGAGGATGTGTCCGACCATCTACGGATGCTTCTGGCTGCAGGCTCTGATACTACCGATAACCACTCGGGGAACCCGTCGATCATCTCAACAAACAAGGCGCTCTACCCTCATTTCCGCGACATGATGTCCAAATTCTCCAAACTCGTCTTGTCTTCGCATATTGCTGCCGCTGACTGGCCGGGGCCAGACTCCGCCTCCAAATGTCTACACGAAGCCGAGGGCGTTCTACAGGGCGTTTATGGCTACGTCGAAGTGGCCAAACAGCAGCGCGGAGACGATATCCGTCGCTTAACGCCTGGCTTTGTTGCCGGCAGCACATCTGGCGGTCACTGGCAGAACAACAATCTCGCTCGAAGAGACCCAACCTCTTTCCTCGAACATGACTCCGAATCTCACCGCACCCCGTCCGTCTCGCTTGACTCCCAGCTTCTAGAGCGAATCGAAGAGCTTCGCAAGATGCTAGCTGTCAGCTCTCGCAGGCTAGAAGAGCAACTTTCTTCCTTCAAAGGCAAAATTGTAACGCCAAAAAGCCATGCCGAGATTGGTGACGCTGTGTGCGAAGCTGGCGTGCCGATAGTCGAAAACTTTCGCCCATGGGTGGCGCTCATCGAGTCTATCGACCTGTCACACTTTGGCTCCGATCTCCAGAACCCGCAATTGGCGGACTTCAGTGTCCAGAAGCAGCGCGTGTACGACAGCATTTCGGATCTCGTTATGAGCTGCCAGCACATCTCGGCGCCGCTAGGTGACGAGTGGGCCGAAATTAGGGGAGATTCGCTGGAGACTCGACTGAATAATACCCGCATGATGTCGAGGCAACTTACCAATTGTGTTCAACAGATCGGTTTCTCCTTGACCTTACTATTGGAACAAGCTCCACAGCAAATACCAAATGGAGATGGATATAATAAATCTACTCCCAAGGTACGTAAGAGTCCGCCATCATCTATTGGCATACCTTCTAGCTATGGGGTGGGTGATGACCTTGATAAGCCACCTCGATCTCTGGATAAGGCGCAACGGTTCTTTGGCCAGCCCGTACCCAGAGAACCGACCTCTGCCAGAGAACCAGAAGAAACCCCGTGGTTCCTTAAACTCGACCACGAGGCGGAAGTGTTCTACGATGTCAAGGGCGACGTACAGCAGCTCAAGTGCGGTACACTGGCCGGCCTGGTCGAACAGCTTACCCGCCATGACAAGCTTGATCCCTCGTTCAAAGATACCTTCCTTCTTACCTACCGATCTTTCACCACTGCTTCAGAGCTGTTTGAAATGGTGGTCCATCGATTCACACTCCAGCCTCCTTACGGCCTGAGCAAAGCAGAGCTACAAATATGGACCGAACAAAAACAGATACCCATCCGAATCCGCGTGGTCAACATCCTCAAGAGTTGGTTCGAGAACTTCTGGATGGAGCCAAACGATGAGGCAAACACTCATCTACTAGGCCGTATACACTCCTTCGTTACCGAGGCAGTTGCATCGACTAAGACGCCTGGCGCGCAACAACTAGTCAGCTTGATAGAGCAACGTCTACGTGGAGAAGAGACTACTGCCAAACGCCTGGTACCCACCATTAGCTCTAATGCACCCACCCCCATCACCCCCAAGAACATGAAGAAGATTAAATTCCTGGACATTGACCCAACCGAGTTTGCCCGCCAATTGACCATCATCGAGTCGCGGCTGTATGCTAAGATTAAGCCGACGGAGTGCTTGAATAAGACCTGGCAGAAAAAGGCTGGACCAGGCGAGGCCGAGCCGGCGCCAAACGTCAAGGCTCTTATTCTACATTCCAACCAGCTTACCAATTGGGTGGCCGAGATGATTCTGACCCAGTCGGACGTCAGGAGACGAGTCGTCGTAATCAAGCACTTTGTCTCCGTCGCTGATGTAAGTGACAATTTCTATTTTACCGCATATGATGAAGATGCTAACGGAAGCTTTAATAGAAATGCCGACAACTTAACAATTACTCTACTTTGACATCTATCATCTCTGCGCTTGGAACGGCGCCAATCCATCGACTGGCTCGTACATGGGCGCAAGTCAGCCAGAAAACTGCAGGAACCCTTGAGATGATCCGCAAACTCATGGCTAGCACCAAGAACTTTGGCGAATACCGTGAAACCCTTCACCTCGCCAATCCCCCTTGCATCCCCTTCTTCGGTAACTATCAATCTCCTATTCATTTCCTTTCCCCCTTCTTTTGTCCACCGTTTTCGTCGAAACAGTGCCATGACTAACGTGCATACAGGTGTCTATCTCACTGATCTCACATTCATTGAGGACGGCATTCCCTCCCTCACTCAATCCGATCTAATTAACTTCAATAAGCGCACCAAGACCGCGGAGGTGATCCGCGATATCCAGCAGTACCAGAATGCGCCTTACCAGCTTATTCCTGTGCCGGAGCTGCAGGAGTACGTGTTGAACAACATGCAGGCAGCAGGCGATGTGCATGACATGTACGAGCGCAGTCTTGAAATCGAACCCCGAGAAAGGGAAGACGAGAAAATCGCAAGGTATGGTAAACACTACTACTACGACCCATCGGTCGTTGCACTCACCCTGACGGCTGGCATACATTGATCGTGCCATGGCCTCCTCCCTCCAAGCCCTCTCTCTCCCAGACCCTCTCGCTCTTGCTCCATCTCTTACTCTTTTCTTTTCTTTTGTTCCCTCGTCGTATTTTTTTTGAACCCTTTCCTATCTTCGACGTCAGCCCAATTCCCCGTTTCGGTGTTCCTCCATCCTCCCTTCACTTCACCTCCATTTTTTTTTTTCTTGCGTCGCAACACCCATTATGCGGGTGTGCTTGGGTGTGTTTTTGCTTCTTCCTTTGTTGTTGCGATGCGCCTTCTGGGTTCCCCCACGTGCCGCGATGCTGGCCTTTCGGAAGCGCTGCCCAAGACTTTTTTGAAAGCAGTTGTGGCACAGGCGACGCATCGACTCCCCCAGCCCCAGCAGCCAACGCGAAAGGGAAGGTTGAGTTTCCTCCCCCGGACAAGCCAGCACCCATAGAGGGACCAGCAAGGAGCAAATGAGAAGAAGAGAAAAAAAAAAAAAAAGCAACAGCAACATGCGACAAGCACAGATACACACCATCTCGGGCGCAAATAATTGCAAAAGCAGGACGCTGGAGCAGGAGCAAGTATCGTGATGGGTGTGGGAAAAAANNGAGAGAAAAAAAAAAGAAAAGAGAACAAAAGAAAAAGAAAGAAAGCCCGCAAGAAACGCAAAAGTCAGCCTAGTTGATCGTTATTACATCGACATGGCCAGGATTATCTCACGCTTCGACGACGTGCTGCTCCTCTCTGCTGCTCGCTGCCTAACTGCTTAAACCCCCTTCCCCTCCCCTCCCTCCCCCTTCCCCCTTCCTATTCGCTGTGATACCTTCTGATTCGCTTCTCCGTGATTGTGGATTAACCTTCAGATGGAGATTTTCGTTCGTGGCTTTGTTGTGTTTTTCCAGCGCTTTTTACGATTTGATTGACCTGCCTGAAAGAATTAACCAATCAGCTAATGATTCCCCGTTTTCTCAATGTAGACTGCTCACTGAGTCAGGGTTCTTGTAG